ATTACTTCACGTAATATATTAATATGTCATAATAAATAATAATATATGACATTTTGACATATCATAATAACATGATCATATAATATTTTATTTTTTATAAATATTAAATAATAAATAATATTTCAATTAATATAAATTAATTCACTATTAATCATAAAAAAATTATTTGATCAATAATAAAAATTAATTAAATATAATTAAAAAATAAAAATTTATTTAATTTTTAAAAAACTAATTAAACAACTTTTTCAAATATTATAGTTGATGCATATTTCTATGCAATTAGGTGCCAATAAATAGTTGTTGAGGTAAAATAAGTAAATATTATTAAGTTGGGGTACCCGAATGCAAAAAAAATAAAAGAAAAGTACTAAAGCATTCACGCTGCCACTTCAACGACTCTCCCCGCCAGAGAGGAAGAAAACAGTAAAACCCACTGACACAGCGGGAGAGAGAGAGAGAATCTCAAACTTCAAAGCGCCAATGACTTAAGCCAGTACATGTCTTCATTTTTCTTCAGAGCTCGGCCATAGCGAGCTAGGGTTTTGGTATTTCACTTTTTAAAGAAGGTAAGAAAGGAAAAAAAAAATGGAGAGAGAGGAAGATTATAGGAAGAAAGAGCGCATTGCATTGGTTGCCATTGTAGTGCTTGCTTCCGTGGCTGTTGCTTCGCTTTTTGTGGCTTTTAGTTACTATTGTTATATTCGAAACAAGGTGCTCTCTAAGCGCACCAAAACCCAAAATAGTAGTAAGCCTCTTTTCACTTTCTCTCTGCTTGCATTGCTCACTAACACAATGTCTGGATGAACTTCACAACATTATTTCTTTTTCTTTTGAAGTCTTTTGTATTTTTAAGTTGGGTTTGTGAACAATGTAGAAAATGTCAAGACAGCAAGATAATTGGGAAAAATGCATTCTTTTTTTTTAAAAAAAATTTACTTCATATTCATTGCATTCAAAAGGAGTTCTTTGTTTTCCTTTTTTTTTTCTTCAAAAAAGTGTGGCGAAATGACCACAGGGAAATATGGATATGCGATTTATGTTGTTCAGTTTCTGATATAATTGGCTAAACATTATGCTACTTGAAATTTCTCTTTATTTTTTCTTTTTCTGTAGCATTTTAATCATCTTGCAGTATTTTTATTTTATTTTATTTTGTCCCCACTATTAAGTGTCCCCATAAGAAGGATGGGATGTTTCTTACACCTTTTTAAATTAATTACTGTCTTTTGGGACTTGGAAATTATGATGGTTTGAAGTCAGGGACAAAGCTAAAGTAATTAACAAATAGTGAAATTGGTGCTTGAACTAAGCTGTATGATTCAGTTCCTAATATTCCCTTTTGTGTAAGCTGATGGATGGGTGATGTTTGTGTCTGAAGTGGTTGATTGTAAGGATAAAGCTAGCTCTACCGATCTTGAAGTTGCTATGGACAAAGGGCTTCACGTCTTTACTTTTAAGCAGTTACATTCAGCAACTGGTGGTTTCAGCAAGTCTAATGTGGTTGGTCATGGTGGATTCGGGTCGGTATATAGGGGAGTGCTCAGTAATGGCAAGAAAGTTGCTATTAAGCTGATGGATCAGGCAGGAAAGCAGGGAGAAGAGGAATTTAAGATGGAGGTCCACTAGAATATCATTCTAATTTCTCTTTTCCGTTGTTTTATTATCAGTAATTGAAATGTGCTAAGCTAACCAAGCAACGGCACATGATGCACTTTACTTTGTTCCTTACATTTCCGCTGGAAGAAAAAAAAAACGTATAAAAAGAGTTATGAAAAATATGATCTCTTTTGCATTATTTCTCTTTCTACTTCTCCTTAACTAAATAGGCAGGAAATGTTGTTGTCGTTTTAAGGAGGGTTTATATTGATTGATTGACTGTATCCAATTGCAGGTGGAACTGCTGAGTCGGCTGCGTTCTCCATATTTGCTGGCTTTGATTGGGTATTGCTCAGATAGTAGTCGTAAATTGCTTGTTTATGAGTTTATGGCGAATGGTGGGCTGCAGGAACATTTATATCCCATTAGTGGTAAGTTTATAACCTTTTAGTTATTAACTTTCTTTGTGTATGAGCTGTTAATTGAACTTTTTAATGTTATTTGAATCTAAGGTTTATCGTCAAGAATATTAAAGCAGGGTGGCATTATTTGCACTGCAGTTCTGCTGTTATTGCTTTCCATTTTCTTTAAATTGATAAAATTTTCATGCACTTTTTGGGAATCCCAGAAGCTAAAAGTGGAGTGCTAATAGGGTTACCCTGAAAGAAAGTAGAATTTTTGTAAAACATTATCTCTTGGTAAGTGTAGAAGGATTGATGTCTATAAATTAAATTTTTTTTTCATTAGTCCTCTTTATAGCAATCTACAATGATGATCTTGAATTTTCAGAAATGCTTTAGAGTTTATCTACTTCTTCTTCCCTTGAATGTTGTGTTTTGATCCAATCATCAGATACCTAATCTCCGTTTCACCAATCAAGATCATGTGCAAGCTTGAGTTTCGCTCCATCTGTGACTAAATTAAAGCTGATTAACAGGATGTTGTCCAAGCTCTGATCATCTTTTCTGAAACAAGATCAGGCTTGGCTTAGTTCGGAATGAATGATTAATGCAGCAGAATCAGTACTGTTAACAATTGATTTTACTGGTTGTGTTCCAAAATGCAGGTTCTAACAATGTAACTTTAAAACTGGACTGGGAAACCCGGTTGAGAATAGCACTTGAAGCTGCTAAGGGATTGGAATACCTACATGAACATGTTAGCCCTCCAGTGATTCACAGAGATTTTAAGAGCAGTAACATCCTTTTGGATAAAAACTTTCATGCCAAAGTTTCTGATTTTGGATTGGCCAAGCTTGGATCTGACAAAGCTGGTGGACATGTTTCAACTCGAGTATTGGGCACCCAGGGATATGTTGCTCCTGAGTATGAACTAACAAACTCTTACTCCCAAGTGGAGGGGAAACGATGTTCATTTAATTTGTAGTTGTTTTTTTTATATAAAACCACAACTGCCTTATCTTGATATTGAGTTTGGTTGGCATGCCATGCAGATATGCTTTAACTGGGCATCTAACTACAAAATCAGATGTGTATAGTTATGGTGTTGTTCTTTTGGAGTTGCTTACAGGCAGAGTACCAGTTGACGCAAAGAGACCTCCTGGGGAAGGTGTTCTTGTATCATGGGTGAGTTTCATTTCTTTCATCTTGAGCCAAATTCCCTGCAATTTGGTGTGATTTTCTAGGATGTTTAAGTTCATCCTATTTGCTTAAAATTTAACACTGTTCTGTTTTTCCTGGATATTTTTGCATTGATTAGGTTCTTTTCACTTTCCTAGTTACCGCTTTTCTAGTAAATCCTTGCTTCTTTTTCTCTCCTCATTCTTTAGTTCTTGTCTGCTGTTTGTGGCGAAGGCTTTGCCTCGGTTAACAGATAGGGAAAAGGTTGTACAGATTATGGATCCAGCACTGGAAGGTCAATACTCAATGAAAGAAGTTATTCAGGTTGCAGCTATTGCTGCAATGTGTGTGCAACCAGAGGCTGACTACAGGCCATTGATGGCAGATGTTGTGCAATCATTGGTTCCGCTGGTGAAAACTCACAGGTCAACCGCCAAGGTTGGTAGCTGCTCAAGCTTCCATAGTGCTAAGTCTCCCACATCCCAGGATCCCAGCAAGGCAAGTTTATGAGAATAATCAAAGGCAAGTGCAACTGTCTTTAGCTGAACTTAGATGCTCAGCCGCGATTGAGCGTTGTAGCAGTGATTAGACAACTGCTTAGAGATGAAACTAAACTGTTTTAATATTGTCACCTCTATCGGTAGAAAGCCCCAACGATGTATTAAAGCTTTGGGTCAAACAATATTCAGTCTTATGAACTTGTAATTGAAGAAGTAACAAGACTTTGCTAAGGAAGGTTACTCAATGAATAGCCTAACAATGATTAAATGATATTATTGCAGTAATAGTAGTTAAAAAATATTAAATTTTAGGATCAGAGCATTTGACTTGTTAATCAGGTATATATCAAGTCAGGCATCACCCATTAAGTTTATATTGTAGGGTTGCCATTTGATCTCTGTACTCTTATGTATTTCTACTTTAATCCTAAAGATGACATGAAGGAGACTGATCCATTGAAAGACTCTGTCTAGGTGATTAATTTTCAATGCTTTGGCCAGTATCCTTCTTAAATGCAGGTCGGTGTTGAGAGCTGAGCTTTCGTCCTCTCCGCCTTTCCTTAATATGATCACCTGCGCATCATCGTCAAGCTCACATTGTCATTAAATACTCTGCGCCATTTTAGAAGAAAATGTCAATATCTGAATTATTCAAATAAAGACTAAATCCCTTTTTGTCTTCTTGGATTTAAAAGTTCACAAAGAGGGAAGAAAAATTGGGTCAACGGATTGAATAAAAGACAAATTGCAAAAAAAAAAAAAAAAAAACAAATTGTAACCTTTACATGAAGTTTTGTATTCACAGAAGCATGTGTGAAATGAGTTCATAACCTTATGGAAATGGTGCAATGAAGTTCAAAATTTAATCTTTGTTACATGATTAAGCTCGTTTTACTTTTGATTTTGGAACAGAATGATAAATTATTCTAAATTCGAGGTGATATTAAAAGTAGAAAATATCCAATAATTGTTTTGTGGAAAGGGACTGGATCCACAGTCTTCACAGTAACCACTGACAGAGGATGATAGTAACAGATAACCAGAAAGTTGAAAAGTAACGTTGCTCAAACTATTTTGTTGTGTTTAGTAATGGGTTTTAGCACAACGTCAACATTGCATTGATTGTTGTTTGCTTAGACTCTCGGGTACACAATCATTTGCGTCGCCCTTTTGGCAACAAAGTAAACCCATATCCAGAACCGTGTTGGCAGCAAAGTTTGAAACTTCAACGCATACAAACGAGCTCCTTCTCTTTTGTAAGGCGTATTCTTTCCTTATATAATAGAGAGTCTGAATCAGGGGATTACTCACAAGTCACGGCAAAGAAATTAGTTATCCTTATTTTATCTATCTATTAAGCCTGGTTTTCTTCACTAATAGCCTCGAGATGGCGTCTATAGTTTCCTATTTCTCACTCTCTATTATTCTACTTGTGCTGCTTTCCAGCAGCTCTACTGCGAATGCTCAGCTGTCACCCAACTTCTATGCAAACTCTTGCCCGAACCTTCAAACCATCGTGCGTAATGCAATGAACCAGGCCGTTAATAGAGAGACGCGGATCGGAGCCTCTATTCTCCGCTTGTTCTTCCATGACTGCTTTGTCAATGTACGTAAGGAACGACCTTCCAATTTTATTCTACTCCACCCACCATTACCATTTGAATGGTATGACATACACCATATATGGATTATATATAATTTGTAATGAATGCAGGGGTGTGATGCATCCATACTGCTGGACGACACAGCGACGTTCACAGGTGAAAAGAATGCAGCACCAAACAGAAACTCAGCTCGAGGTTTCGAAGTGATTGATACCATAAAGACCAGGGTGGAAGCTGCTTGCAGTGCCACTGTTTCCTGTGCGGACATCCTAGCACTTGCAGCTAGAGATGGTGTAGTCCTGGTTAGTACTATTCATTAATCAGCCTTCTCCTGCTGGCTATCTCCGTTTTTCATATTAGTTATAGTATATTGGTTGCATTTGGACTTCACTGACCTTTTGCTTTCAATTAATTAAACCGTTGACGACGGTGCTTACACAGTAGCACTACTACTATTTTTGCATGCAAATTCGTCTTTCTCTCTTAATCTCCGTTTTCAACGAGTTCTCATGACAATAAAAGCATATATTTACCCTTTTTTTTTGCCCAAAAAAGGGGTCAACTAAGTGGGTTTTGACTTGTAAAAGTAATTTGTTCTTTGTTGTGACTTTCCCTGCTTTAATTCTCTTCAAAATTAAATAAAAGGATATATTTACCTTTCTTTACTATGATAAAGACTCTCTACTACTTACTTCTGCATGACTAGTTTTATTGGAGACTGTTCCTGCCGGTAACTTTAATTATCTTCAACACGTACTATATATTCTCGCAGCTTGGAGGACCCTCATGGCAAGTACCTCTCGGCCGGAGAGACGCAAGGACGGCCAGCCAAAGCGCAGCCAACAACCAAATCCCATCGCCATCCTCCAACCTCGCAGCTCTAACCTCTTCCTTTGCTGCCAAAGGCCTAAGCGCCCGGGACCTGACTGCGCTATCCGGTGGTCACACCATAGGCCTGGCTAGATGCACAACATTTCGTGGCCGCATCTACAACGACACCAACATTGATCCAAATTTTGCAGCCAACAGACGGGCAAACTGCCCTGCTTCTGGCGGTGACAGCAATCTGGCGCCTCTAGATATACAGACTCCGACCAGGTTCGACAACAATTACTTCCGTAACCTTGTGGCTCAAAGAGGGCTGCTTCATTCGGACCAGGAGCTCTTCAATGGAGGATCCCAGGATGCACTTGTTAGGACTTATAGCACCAATCCGTCGGCTTTTTCCAGTGATTTTGCTGCTGCCATGGTCCGGATGGGAAACATCAGTCCTCTTACTGGGACGAGAGGAGAGATAAGAAGGAACTGCAGGGTGGTCAACTGATTTTTATAACTAGTTAATTTCTTCTTCTTAATATACAATTACCGAATATTGGAATTGGAATTAATCTTAGTTCCCAAACACTCTTAATATATAAGAAGAGTCTTTTTATCCTTATTTTTCAATATTAATAAAACTTTCTTTACAAGTTTTTAGTATTTAAATTTCTTATCTTAATTAAGTGAAGTCCGTTCAGTTATGTAGATTTCAAATTCAATATTTTCAAAACCTTTAGAATTGTCTAAAATGTGTTATAAATGTGAAAATTTTCAATTGAATATATTTATCCAAATTATTAACAACTTTAACATTATATTTTGTTGAGCCGAATTCGATCTAAATTTGTTTTATATCATCCTAATAAATGATCATTTCATGAAATAAACAATATTATAGAGAGAAAAGAAGAAATAAAGAGGAATGACGGTTTCATTTTTTGAATTAACCATGTTGTTTAGATTTAGATTTTTGAATTTGAAATAAATTATATGACAAAATTTTAGTAAAAATTGTTAATTTTATTGATATAAAGGAAGTTCAAATTTAAAATTTTTAATGAAAACTATTAAGGTAGTGGATTAAGATCAAGGAAGCAAATCAGTATTACAACCTTTATTCTTTCTCTTTATTCTCTCGTTATATGATAATATTTGAATTATTTCTGAATAATTTCTGGTTTTACCCTTTTTTTTTGGCAATGTTGCCTATGAACTATGGTATTATTAACAATTAATACCAATAGTGATAGTACAATTTTGATTACTTTTAAGTAATAAAAGTTAAGGAGATGACGTGTACTGTCAATGGAAAGAGACACTCATTTAATTAAAGTTCATCATTTTCTTACGCTTTCACAATTAAAATTATTTTTGGTACTTCCATTTTTTTTATCTCATGTAGCAATATAAAACTAATGCAATTAATATGGAAAAGCAATATCTTTGCTTTCTTTATATATATATATATATATATATAATATAGAATATAATTATTTTATATAATAAGATATCTATGAATTAATATCAAGTAAATTAATAACTTCCATTAAATAATATTTTTGATTGATGTTGATTTGAAACTAGCATGACAAATAAATAATTTGTAAAATTTATAAAATAATATATTTTAAAAAATATATATAGATCTCACTTAATATATAAATTAATAATCTTCTTATACATTAAAATTATATATATGCATGATTTAATTAGAGACTTTCATAAAATATGATTTCATTATTATTATTATTTTTTAATTTAATATCTCTTTAGATTTTATTTTTAATTTTTTTAATATATTAAAAAACTTTGATGTAGTATTATCATATTGTAAAAAAAAATTATTTAATATAATTATTATTTTAAGTGCATCTTTAAGTGAGATAGATTTCAATACAAAATTATCGTTATCAACTTTTTTTTTTGTTATTTTTTATGATATTTTTAATAATTTATTCCTCATGAATAATAATTATTTATAATTTTATAATTAATAATATTTATATAATTATAATACATAATATATATTTATAATTCAAAATATTAATTTATAAAAATTGTACTATATTTATAATTAACTCTATCTTAAAGTTAAAAAAATAAAGGACTGAAAGGTTTTCACCAAAATTATAATAATAAAATAATAAATAAAAAAAGAGAGACAGGATTAAAAATATATGAGACACCTGAGTTGAATCTCTCTGAATCCCATTGGTTAAGGGGGCTCCACATGATTCTTGTCCGTTTCATACCATTTCAATTGTAAGTCCATTCTCACCTACCATGAACTCTCACTCACCGGATCCCCACCCCATTTCGACAATTAAGAAAAAGACAACAAAACCATCTTTAAGTGGACCGTTTAATGCACTCTCCCCAAACTCGCGTGGAGTAAAAACAATTCAGACAAAGGAGAGAGAAAATTAGATTAGACAGATTATTGATTTATTTTCATTTTTTAACCCAAAAAAAAAAAACCGAGAAAGGGAGAGCAGCTGTAAAGCACATGGCCTCGAACCCCTTGGGGCCTCAGCTTCAACAACAACAACCACCAGCTGACAATGACTCTCTGAAACTACGCCGTTCCGATATGGACTCCGATAAGGTTTTCTTTTTTCCTTCGTAACTATACTTATATTTGTAAAAATAGATTTGCATATCCTTTTTTTGTTTTTGGCTTAGATCTTCTTTGATCTAGCTCTCTCTTTCTCTCTCTTTTTTCACTCAAATTTAATCGATTTAAGTGTTTTTTTAGTTTCTTTATCTTTTAAAACTATTTTTCTCTTTTTTTAACCTTTTTTTTAATATGAATTAAAGGTTATAATTCTGTTGTGATTAATTTTTATTTTTTAGTGATACTGTTTATATGATTTTTTATTTTTGCCTTGAAAAGTTTAGTTGGTGAAGATCTTGATCTTGAAACCAAGTTTGCTTTTCCGGGTTCAGTTACTTCATTTCTGAGAAAATCTAAGCAAAAATAAAAGGTAAAATAAGAATTGAGGTTTTTCTTTTCTTTTTTATTATTGGTTGTTTCATTTTTATAGTTGCATTTGCTTAGTTCCAGTGTTATAATGGGAAAAAAGTTAAAATGAGCTTAGATTTAGGATCTTCATTATCTTTTACTGTTTTCTGCTTTTTTCCCCTGCAGTCGAACAGAGAATTAGGGTTTTTTTTTTCTTATTTTGTGTTTAGTTTATAAACTCTGTTGTTAGCTAATTTTCTCTATGTTTTAAATTAATTTTTTGTATGATTTTGGGTTTTTTTTTTTGTAATACTTTAGTGAAATTTGTTGTTATATCTTTGATTCTTTACCAAAATTGAGTGATTTAATTTATACGAGTTTCCTGTGTGTTGCGAAAAACTGCTGTAGTTCCTGAAAGCTTTTTATGGCACCTCTTTTTTCTTTGGGTAGATTGTTGTTCAATCTCTTGTAGTTTGCTTCTGGAAGTGAATGTCCTTTGATTCTCTTATAACAGTCTCCTTTTGCAATGGATTTCTTTATTTATTTTGGGGCATGTGATTCTTTCTTGTGAGATATGGTCATTGTGTATTATGCTTCGCCTATACATAACTGCTGAGATCTTTTTGCTTTGCTCTTCTTTCAGTTTTGCACTCTTGAGATGCCTTTTAGGTCTATGCAATACCCATATGCTTGTAGTAGTTGATTGCTTTTCTTCTTTGTAGGTATTTATTTATTATAGTTGATTTAAAGTTCATGTGTTTAATTGATGTCCCCTATGTGAGATATCTTTCCATCCATAGATTGTCTTTTTCGCAAACGCCTAATGATAACTTGGTTCCAGAAATGGCAACCTACCGGAAATTTGCAATCAGGATCAAGGTCATAATATTTGTTTTTCATTGATGCATTAATGGAAGTGGTGCAACATAGATTGCAGTTTAGTAAAGTAATGATTAATATCAAACATCAGTTTTGCTCCTAAAAGGCATTTTGCTACATGTTTATGTATGATTTATGGTCCACTTGAGATGGATTCTAGTACCAGCTGGCTACAACTGTGCATTTCTGTTTCATCAACGCATGCAGAAATAGCCTTCAATAGGGAGAAAAGGTGTTACAGGAAGTAAAGTAGGCTATTGTGTGTGCCTTAATTGATCCTGTTTGTTGTTATGATTACAGGAAATGTCTGCTTCTGTTATTGAGGGCAACGATCAAGTGACTGGCCACATCATTTCCACCACCATTGGAGGCAAAAATGGTGAACCAAAACAGGTTGGCACCTGATCTTCTTTCCATTTTACACCTTCTGTCCTTGTCCTTTTATATTTTTTAAGTCATAATGCATGCTCTTATTTGAAGTTAAAGAATTAATTGTCTATTTTCGTTGAAAACTGATGATTGCCATATAAATATATTGGTTCTTTTATGATGACTTCTCCTTTTTCTTCTTTTGTTCTATCTAAGCGTTATATATAACCCAATTGAGAATCAAGACTTAAAAATTGCTGATGTTTATTGGTTTTCTTCTGTGGTTCTTTGGTTCCTCCTGTTACATGATAGTTGTTTGTTTCCTTGCAGACCATCAGTTACATGGCAGAACGGGTTGTTGGCACCGGCTCATTTGGAATTGTTTTTCAGGTGCAAACATTTATGCCTCAGGACTAGTTGACATTGAACTACTGAAGTAAGTTCCAATTTTTTTGGTCTATTGAGTCCCTTATCTCATCCTTCTACAGGCAAAATGCTTGGAAACTGGTGAGACCGTGGCAATAAAGAAAGTCTTGCAGGACAGGCGGTATAAAAATCGTGAGCTGCAATTGATGCGCTTAATGGATCATCCAAATGTGGTGTCTCTGAAGCACTGTTTTTTCTCCACTACAAGTAAAGATGAGCTTTTTCTAAATTTGGTTATGGAGTATGTTCCTGAGACTATGTATCGGGTTCTCAAGCACTACAACAGTATGAACCAGAGGATGCCCCTCATTTATGTGAAACTCTATACGTATCAAGTATGGATTGATTTCTTTCTGGATATTTTATTTATTTACTTCTTAAATCCTGACAATAAATGGAAATGTCACTCAGATTTTCAGAGGGCTGGCGTATATCCATGCTGTTCAAGGGGTTTGCCATAGAGATGTGAAGCCACAAAATCTTTTGGTATACTTTCGCTCTTTCTTTCTTTTTGTCATTTTCTGTTTTCAGCAATATCAACTTTTCCCAACCTAATACCTGTGCATTCTTTAGGTTGATCCTCTTACCCACCAGGTTAAGCTTTGCGATTTTGGGAGTGCAAAAGTCCTGGTATGTGCATTCCCTTATTATTGTTCACCTGTCTCTGTTTTTTTTTTTTCTCTTTGTTTTTGTTAAGCACCTGTCTCTGAATTAATGATGGACAACAATAAGTCATAACTGTTTCCTGACACTTTCTAGGCAATCGCAACTTATTCTGTTGAACTTGTTCATCTGAGCCTTAAAACAAAATAACTGCAGTTGCTTTACCTTTTTGTATCCTGGATCTCCTCTCTCTTTTTTTTCTGTTTACATTGCAGGCATGTGGACTATTTAATTTTTCCATATATATTGAGAAATATCTTTCATGATTGACATTTACTCAGGCTGTCGCTTAACTGAAGCTGATGCACAATAGTCTTGGTTTTACTTAACCCTTGGAACTTGCTTATTGTGTCTGTTGAATTGAAAGTTCTTGGCATTTTAATTCTAGATAAATGTGTCTCATAAGTTCACACATGATCATATATCCTCAGACTATTTGGTGATAGCCATTTATTCAGCAAGGCCATGTGCATAAACAACTCTTGCTCTGGGTGACATGTTTGTAATCCTTTGGTCTTAGGAGTAGCACATTGTATTCAAGTTTGGATTGTCGTAGATGGTCAAAAATGTGTCCCTAACTAAGGTGTTGTATGTTGTTTTGTGTTTCACTGACTTCTGTCTAATATATATTTTCATGGTTTCCATCAGGTAAAGGGTGAAGTAAACATATCGTATATATGTTCTCGTTACTATCGGGCTCCAGAACTCATATTTGGTGCTACAGAATATACGACATCAATTGATATTTGGTCTGCTGGCTGTGTGCTTGCTGAGCTTCTTTTGGGCCAGGTTAGTAACTTCCATGTAATCTTCACAGAGTCATTACTAATAAATTTCTGAATGATACTCAAAGCTGTCTTCAATAATATTGGTTTCCTTCCTTTATTTTTTTCCATAGCCTTTGTTTCCAGGAGAAAATGCAGTTGACCAACTTGTAGAGATTATCAAGGTGAAGGCTTATTACTAGTTTTTTTTGTTATTGAGGTTCATGCAAGTTAATTAGCCTTGTAATAATGTTATAGCTGCCCTTCTGTAGGTTCTTGGTACTCCAACTCGAGAGGAAATTCGATGCATGAATCCCAACTATACAGATTTCAGATTCCCTCAAATCAAAGCCCACCCATGGCATAAGGTGTCCCTTCTACTATTTGCATTTCGGAAATGGCAGCTGCTTAATAGTTTTGGAATATGTATTTCGAGCCGGGATAAAACGTCTGCCTCTTTTTAATAAAATAATAAAAAAAGTGTGCCTATAAGAAATGGATAATACTGGCATATGGTCTTGATGCCATTACAAGTTAATGTATAACTATAGACTGGGATTTCTATTTCAATAATTTTGAAGTTGATTACTTGTATAACAATGCCCTTGGTTCAGGTTTTCCACAAGCGTATGCCTCCTGAAGCAATTGACCTTGCCTCACGCCTTCTTCAGTATTCACCAAGTCTCCGATGTACTGCAGTGAGTTAACTTTTGTTTTCGGGGATAGTTAAGATTGAGTTAACTTCTCCCTTCATTTGATGAAAATTTATCACTATGCTCCAAAATTAAAAGGCCATTTTTGCAAGATATTTTGTGATTCACTTACTATGCTAAAAAAGATTTCATGTCAGGACTGCAATTTTAACCCTATTCAAACATGAAGAGCCTCAAGTCTTCCAAATATCTACATTAAATTATGTGAATGCTTACTGTTTCTTATTAACCTCTTCTATTCTTTTGTTATTACAGTTGGAAGCATTAGCGCATCCTTTCTTTGATGAACTTCGCGAACCTAATGCTCGCCTTCCAAATTGCCGTCCTTTACCCCCACTTTTCAACTTTAAACAAGAAGTATGATTCTCATTATCTTATTTGTTTCAAGCAGTTTTGAAGAAGTATGTTTGGCACTTGCATCGTTGTTTGTTAATGCATTATTGATTGTTTGCATGCCTACTAAATTGCAAAGAACTCTGGAAGCCAACCAGCTTGTACATTAAGACTTGGCCCTCATCCTTCTTGGTAGAGTGTCTGCACTTTGATCTACATAAGCCCCTTGTTTATAGCACTTGGTTTTTCTTTTTCCTTATGTCTGAGTCTGTGGTCTCATGCACATCGGAACATTTGCATGAAACATCAACAGGATTGCATGCATCCAACAAGGCATGATGTGTTACGGAATTTTGTTGGCTCTAATCCATTCTCTTTCTTGGTGATCCCTTATCTATTAACTTTTCATGTCTGATTCATTTATAGGTAGATGGAGCTTCCCCTGAGCTAATCAACAGGCTGATACCAGAGCATGTGAGGCGGCAGATGGGTCTTGGCTTTCCACATCCAGCTGGTACGTAAATGTGGAAAAAGCAATACAAGGAATCAAGTCTTCTGTTAGTGGATGGGTTCAATGCAAAGGAAGGACAGACGGAGCTCCTGGTCACTAAACCAAGCTTTCTAGCCTATTCAGTGGATTTATTGCCCTGCAAAGATGTATGCATATACTGGCTTCTTCTCGTTTAACATGGAAGTTGGCGATATCTGTCTACTATGTCATTCTAGCTACAACATAGTGTTCCCCTGTTTTTGTACATTGTTTTGATCAGAGCTAGGAGTATAAAAAAGGTGATGGAATCCATGTGTAGCTAGGGTAAAGTGCTGAGAAATAGCCCAGCCGAAGCTGAGGGAGTTGTACTAGTTTGGCTTGCTTCTTGAATGTTGCGCTAGTTTTACATATGTTTGTTGCAGCATGTGGACATAAACCGAATTTCACCAATTTAAGTGCCATCCTTTTCTCTATATTTTGTTTTGTTATTTTCCCACTACGTTTTGTTTGAAACCTGATAAAAGGCATTATGAAGTGATACTGAAAGTGGGGAACTTAACCGCCAACCAGCCAGCTGTTTGGTCCTGCGCGTGGCAATGCCCATTATTACTGATTGCATTTGTTTCCATTGTAGCTCTACAGGGAGAAGACATTAGTTTTTGCTTATGTTACTTACCACCACTCAGTTTTGTACTTAAAGCAGAAAGATCCCATCCTTTTTTCAGCACTAAATTTCCACGTTTATTTTATCTTAATGGACTTGCCGTGTCATAAAGGAATTGGATCAGTAAAAATGAGTACACCATACATCCTTTGGCATCAACTTTAGCTGCCACGAATTCGTTACTGTGTAATTATCCAGCGTTGTAACTAAGCTTTCAATAATACTTGGTGCACCGTTTTATTTCTAACAAGAACAAAGCAAATTAAATAGCGCCACCGATTGTCGTTGCCCTTTTTTGACAATCAGATTTGAGATCAAATGTTTTACCTCTTTCTATTCTAATAACAGTTCAATGGAGAAATGATGCTGCAGAATACTCCTAAGTACGGCAAGCGTGATGCTCGCTCACTCGTCCTTCCAATGAGGACATAAATCTGTTTGTCACAGATGAGCTGAAAGCTATATATATATATGAGAGAGATTCATTACTTGTTTAGCAGTTCTATGCGGATTTTGTGACTTCATGAATCGCACTAGCCAAATATTCAACATTGCCCGTTGTAACGCCAGCCATACTGCATTTGTTTGCAACATTAGCGAATCAGTTTCATTCTTGATTCGTGCACCAACAGTCCAGCAAGTGAAAGGAATTGCTTTCAGAGATATATTACCTGATTCTACCATTGCGAGTCATATAGATGTGAAATTCACTTGTCAAGCGATCCACCTGTTCCGGTGTCAACCCACTATAGCAAAACATCCCTATCTGCTTCAAATAACAAGGATTATCATTGCTAACCACCATCTAACTTACAAAAATTAGTCAGCTTATACTCAAGACAAGTAATTCACAAACTTAACAAACCTGATTAGTGATGTGCGTCCATGATAATGGAGACCCTAGCTTTTCAAGGTTCCCTTGTAAAGCTGTTCGCATTCCAATTATGCGATCTGCCATGACCTGGAGAGAAAATATTGGAATCAGTCCAATTCCTTTTTTAAGTTCAATCAATTTCAGGTAATCCCAAAAATAAAATTAAAAAGATAGTTATTTTTTTTTATTTTATTTGAAATAAAAGATAATTACTTTATTACATTCAACTACGTTCATCCTAGGGCTGCGCTGTGATAGAATAAAACAGGAAATTTGCTAAAATCTATCAAAATTTCATTCGAGAACCAGACACTCCACCCAAAAGGGCTACCTAACTGGCCCTCCTAAGGAAGCTCGGTTGGGTTCAATGTCAAGTACATGCTTCCATGGGTTTGATATGATCATCCTTAACCCTAGAACGTGCAATAACCAAGGACATCAGTCACATATACTCACCTGCTGTCATTTTGTATAATTAGACAAAATGCAAACTTTTAATAAAGAAGCCTTGCAATATTACCTTAACTTCTTTGAGCCATAGTTTCTTCAAGTCTGGATCACCGAGAATGGTTGAAACTATGAGTGCACCATGAAGAGGTGGGTTGCTGTACATGGGTCTTGCAAGCTGCTGCAATTGACTTTTCACAGCTACTGCTTGTTTTTCATCTTCGCAAAGCACACTGCAGTGGTTGTTGCAGACAATTGGTATCAGGAAGTCAAACTCTGATAAGCAAAATGTTCTACATTCCATTTCCAAAGCTAAAGAGACAATTACCTAAGGCATCCTACCCTCTGGCCATAGAGCCCCATATTCTTTGCATACGATTGGGCAATTCCAATATAGTGACCATCCTCAAGAAAAATCCTGATGGACTTTGCATCTTTCTCTGGATCACCACTAGCGAAACCTTGATACGCCATGTCAAAGAAGGCAAAATGACCTTTCACCTAAAAATAGAATATAATGTTTAAACAAGGCAAAGCAGTAGTGACAACTGGAAAGGACAAGAGCATTAGAAGTGAACAAGAGGGTACAAATTGTCTCAAGAAGTAACTTTGGGGAAAGAAGGGGCTCTGAAGGAGTATTTACCTTGAACTGGTGTGAGATTTCTCTCCACTGCTCCTCTGAAGGATCCACACCAGTGGGGTTATGAGCACAAGCATGAAGTAGAAAGAATGAACCATTTGGAGCATTCTGTGCAGAAAGAGGAACATAATATTAGCAATGATGATACACATTGAAAGTCAAGGGGAATTGAGCAACTAATGGAAATAAAGAATAAGGGTAAATATTAATTCCAATATTCAGGTTTTGTAGGATGATCCTTGCATACCTTGATGTCATCCATCATTGTTGCAAAATCTAAACCCCTAGATTCAGGGTGATAATAATGGTAAGTTTTCTGTGGGACCTGAGCATCTCTCCAGATGTTGTGGTGGCTGTTGAAATCTCATAAAGCAATAAAGGAAATGAGAGAGAGATTTCTCAATCTTATAACCGGACTTGTCCAGGTCCTCCAACAAAAAAGAGGCAACTGAACTGAGGAAGCATAGTATTTAAAAGACAACAAAGACTCACTTGGCCCAAGTTGGGACTGGTATATAGATTTGGGAATCAGGACGAAAACGCTTTTGGAAGTCTGCAAAAAGTCGGCATGCACCAGTCCCAGACAGAGCTTGGACTGCTGCTATCCTTCTGTCTTTTATCAACTCAGAATTCTCTCCATAGGCCAACTTTAGTGTTTCTTCCACCACCTTCACACTTCCTCCCATAGGAAGATATTCCCTGATCAAAAGACAACATACAGAGAACATTTCCATTAATCCTAAGGAAATACAAAGAATAAGAAAAGAGTTGTATGGTTGAATATATAAATTCCACCATCTGAAGTTGGATGTTGAAAGGATTAAATATCCATGAGGTCCAATACAATCCAGCTAATAAGACAATAAAGAACATGCAAAGGATGTTATATAAGCACAGTCGAACACGTATATGTGCATATATGGACCATCCTCTCACAGGAACAGAATAAAAGGGCATGATGAATGGAAGCTTGTTCTTCTATCAATGCACAGAGAAAGGATTTAACGGAGAAAATGCTGGCCTATTTTGTAAAGAAAAATGTTACTGACTAGCATTCCAAGGGTGCTTTCCAGATAACGCCAATCACAAGTTAGTTCCAGCAGTTGCATAAGAATAGAAATAACATACATATAGTTGAGCACAGACGGATTGAAAAAGATTTTCCTATATTTAGGAGCTTTTATATACAATGTTCAAAATGAAAATTAATTGTCCTATGCTACCACCATTGATAATTGTTTATGGATCTAAGCTTTGCCAGTCATAGAAAAATTCCGAGTTCCTAGACCTTTTTCTTTCTTTCTCCCGTTTCCAAAATTATATTTAGGGCAGCAAGGCACATTCACGGAAAAAATATAATTCAAAAGATATACTGATAGATGCTTCAATTCTGATTCTGGGTAAGATCTAACAAGGAAAGAACTTTCATTTTTAAGGAAGTTTCTAGTGCATACACTCTTAAATCATTTTCATAGAGGTTACATTTTACTTAGATTAAATACCATTTCCACAAAGGTGGAACTAAGACCAGATAATATCCAGTAATCTTAGGAGTTAGGACTACCTTCCTTTATCATTCTGGAACTCTTGCAGTTTAGTATCTAAGCTCCCTACAGGATCCACTTTAACGAACCAGTAACTGTAGTATTCAATAATTTCACATCTTCTAATTCCACTAAGCTAAGTCTCAAAATTTAGTAATATCCAGTAATCATACTACAACCTTTTCTTTAAAAGCAGAAGCCACAAGAAAAGGGCTAGAAAAGAATATTCTGTTAAGACTTATCAACAGAACCATGATCTAAGCCATAAAGTGTCAACATCATGAAACGAATCAAATGGGCGGTGGGAGATAAAAGGGTTAGTTACATGGGACCACCAAAAAGAAGTTACCAACCCGTCAAATATGAAATTCAATAAAACTTCAACAGGACTTATTACTATTGGTGACAACTAATCTTAAATAGATAAATAAAAAATAATTGAAAATGCACTTAATTAATTATGAAATACAATTATCTGTTTTGCTGATCTTTTTGTTATTTTTTTTTATAAAAAATAATGCGAAACAAAAATAATAGAAAACAGCCTTAGTTGTTACTTTAGGACTTGGATTTTGCTGCCTCACAAGTTGATAAACAGTTTCCACCAAAGAAACAAAACATTTGTAAACAGTAAAATTAAATAGCAATACGAGCCAAAATGTGACCAAGACATGCATCCAAACATAATTGTCAGGAATAAGTATTATTTATGGAACATACGTTTTATTTTTAGAAATTTACAAAAGAAAAAACAAATATAATTAGTACCAATAATAATTAAACAAAGCCTAACTAGTTGAGTTTTGTGCTATAGTTATGACTTAGGACTTAGAAGAACAAAGTAAAGTGATTAATATACTTACATTTTCAAATTTCCAGCAATCCTTCGCTCGGCTTCCCTAACACATTCCAACACGACCGGCTTTCCATTATCATCACGGTAAGCACCCTGAAAACAAATCGTAAAGAAGTTCATCTACTCTATCGCTTTTGTATTTTCAGAATGATAAAGAAAATTGCCTGTAATTGTCAACGGACAACAGGTATTAGTGTTCTGTTTCATCTTGTTCAAGCTCTATAATTTCTCAATTACTATTGAATTAATTACCCATATTTTGATCCCGAAAATAGAACTCAAACTCGACAGTACTAAGCCACGACTATAAAACTTGCAAGAAAAAAAAAAACACTTCCTGCCTAAAACAAAGAAGGGCAAATGTAAAGACACAAAAAAAAAAAAAAAGATTCAGGTATTATTTGGTTAATATTTTTAGTTTTATACTATCCACAGTTTACTTGAGAAAGAAAAAACATGCTACGAAACAAAAAGAGATAAAAATACCTTTAAATAATTAAAAAGTAAAATAGTATTTCAAGAATAATTTTATAAAGTTATTTTAATTTTATATGAAATAATTATGCATTTAGAAAAAATTATTTGCAGTATTTAATTGTATAATAAAGGAATTATTTATTCATTTTTAATCGTAAGTATTTAATCAAATACTTATGATTTTACTCTGACAAGTTACCATTTACCTCTTTTTGTTTTTAAAAGCTTCTAGATAAAGTACAGAGTAAGTACAGGAAAAAACTAAGACCAGCGAGAGCCTAAGTTTGTCTGTTTGGTAACAGAGAAACTTACAAAAACATTACCAAGCAAAAGAGCTTACACAATTAGCTCAAACGAAGTAGTACAACCTTTGAGAAGCGAAAATTAAACATTTCGCTTTCGTAAGTCGTTTCAAAAAGAGAGTAGCTCAGAAACAGAAGAGTCAAAGAACAAATCCGTAAGAGAAAGAAAGAAAGAAAAGAAAAGAAACATACGACTCCAACATTGACTTTCTCGGGATTGGGATCGGCCAAAAAGGCTTCCGTAACACCAAGAATCGGATCCTTCGGAGCAGGCTCCATGCCACGCCACCACGACGACATGGATCTCACTCCAAGGACCTCCGTCCGCGCCGTGAGTCGCCCTGACATCGCTCTTCGGATCGCCATATCACCACGAACAAAGACGCTCGTAATTGGAACAGAGTGAGATAGCAAGAGGTTTTACGTTTACCGATGAAACGAAATAAATAAGCCAAAACGAATGCGCGTAGTGCAGTTGAAAAGTTCTGCTAGTATTTATATACGAGTAAAATGGTGGACATGTTGGGAGGAAGCGAATCGAATCCGGCTGAGAAATTGTTGCAACGACCTTGAAATGCGTGAGGATGCCGTCACTGGCGCTTTACGTCTTTGCCTTTGACACGGCTTTCTCCTGATATTACGACTTTGCCCTTCCGGTTGATTGCTTTGCGTCATTGCCTTTCTCCTTTTGGATTGTTTGACTTCTCGTCGGTTTTGACTGCGAGCGGTACACAAGACTTTTAACTTTATAATTTCAAATTAAAAATGAAACAAAACATGAAAATAAAACTAATAATCCTTTTTTTATTGATTATAATTTTCAATTATAATAAAAAAGTATACAAACAAGTTCTTTTTTATGTATAGATAAAATTTCTAATTGCATTGAATCATTTTATTTAAAATCAAAATTTACGTGATTCATAATTCTTTATTTATTATATTTTTAAATTATAATCTTATTAAAAAAATTTATATATATAATTTTTTTAAAAAATAAGTAAAAATAAAAATATTCACGTGTCAACAAATGTTAGTATATATATAAAGAAGACAAAAAAAGGGTACGGTTATATATGTAAAATGTGTATAACTTACTCTTTATTACATGTATATGCTAAATGCTAAGTAAAGTATATTTGAAAAAAGTCAAATAAATAAAAAGAAAACAATTTGGAGGGCAAAGTCTTTTGAATTAGGAATGAATGAATAGTTACAGAAATTGAGTGGCGTGATTCATAATTCCTACCTAAACTACTGAGCACATTTCTTATGATTATTGGAGGAAAATGTTGAAGCTAAGAAGTGTTGGTAGGCCATTCATCAAGCGTTTCGTTGGTAATGGCCGCAATATATGAAATATTTTCAAACTTACATATTCTTTTTTGTACATAAATTTTGAAGAATGTAGGGAGAGTTAGCTCTCTCACATTCCATAAATTTCAACTCAAGATACGTCAGATCTTATTATAAAAGCCCGAATATCTTTTGGAGACCAATCAACGGTTTTATTTGTCTTAAGTTTAAAAAAAAAACAAAAAAAGAGAGAGATATAATCTAGCTGGAATCCATGGGAGTCAAGTATCTTCAACGCTGTCGGGTAATATGTAAAATGGATGAGATATTGACCGTTGAAGCCACATCATGGAGCACTCCTTCATTCATTGCTTGGTTGACATGTTCTCCTTCCAAGAGAAATAAAATTGGAATTTTTTTGTTTCGTGTGTTGGTGTTCTATTACCCCTTCCACCTCACTAATTTATTAGGACATTTCAAAATAGTATTTACTTCTATTCTTCTTCAATGAAATAGTAATTTTTAAATTGATGCTTATCATTTTTATAATTTTTAAAAGTAATAAGTATAAAATAATAACTAAAACATTTTATTTCTAAACTCTTGTATCTTTTGAATAGTGAATATTCGATCGAAAGGGATATTAGTACTTTTATTGCCCGACTAAATTCTTTAAAAATGTTTATTAACTTCTCATCAAATACACTAGAGGTATTGTTCACATAACTTCATGTGCACTATTCCGTTATTTTTTAGCAAAAATTGAAAGATAATAGCAAAGTTCAAAGTGTTATTGAATTAATATTAACGAAATTCAATATTAATGCATTGTATAGTAACGAATTTGATTTTGATCGTACAAACAAATAAAGGAAAATACTCCAATTCTCTATCCTTCACTTGTCCAATTACAAAAAAAAAAAAAAAAAGGTGGGAAATCTTTCAATTAAGTTCTTTTAACTTGGAAGTTAAAACTTTCTCATATCTGGAGGCGAAACTACCGAAAAAATTGCACAAAATTTTATCTGATATTAATATTATTTTATTTAAATAATGATAGATTCGAATGGAACTCTTTAAATAAAAATAAAATATTGAAATGCTTTTGAATGCTAACTGATATCAATGCTAAGTTTGAAACGCTACTCCAATAATTTAAAGTGGAGATCGGTTGGGCTCGGTCCTTGAGCTTCACTTAATGTTGTCAGCTACCTAATAGGAGAAGAAATGGGGAAGGAGAGACTAGAGAGAGATCCCTGCACCTCGGAAACGAAGAGCAGACAGAGCTACCTGATGCCACAACTTGCTGGATGTACCTCATCCACCGCCGTCTAGCCAAGCCATTGATCCACAAAGGAAAAGACAGAGAGACTATGAGAATTTCTTCCTATTCCTTGAGCAACCAGCCTCTAAACTCCTTTCTGCAAATGCATCTAGGGCGGATCCCAGGGAGAAATAGATACTTTAACCCAGCATTCAAAGTGGCAACTGCCAAGGTTCCAGATAATTTTCTAATGAGGTGCCTCTTCCTTCATCACACCTGCCACAGACAGTTTCAACTTAAACTAATATAGTGAGACTTTAACTCCGTTCTATATAAAATAAAAGTAAGGGTGCGCATATATAAATCAAAATTACATTGTTTACCTTGTATTTTAAAAAATACACATTTACCTATTTCCATATAAACGTTCCAGTATCTTTTGGAGATTTCAGGGTATTATGTGTCTTAAGTTAAGAAAAAAAAAAAAAAGATACAATCTAGTTGGAATCCATCCAAGTTAGGTATGTTCAAAGCTGTCTGCAATATGAAAAATTTGTTGAGACACAATCCTCCTAAACTGAATGGGATATAGTGTCATGATTCACAACCTGTAAGACTAGTCGAGACAACAGCACAAACAGGCACCGCACACCTCTTAGGGTCAGAAATCGACCCTGGACCAACACCGATTGGGGTCTCATCGACAACCAATAGGCAGCAAACACACCACACCACCCAATCTCATAGGACCGGGCTGCGTGCAGACAAGTTTGCACAGAGAGCCCAACTTCAAGAGGACTGCTCAAATGGGGTGGTTTGCTTGGGATAGAATTCTTGTGTATAGTTATCTATTTATTTTATTTGCCCTAGGACTTAATGCTAGTCGTAGAACATTTATTTACTTTAATCTCTTATCATCTAGGAATTAAAATCCAGAATTTATAATTCACTCAACTAACGGTCAACAAACACAACGATAGAGAGCAGCAATGCGAGATAACCTTGAAAAAATATAGAGAGCGCAGGAAAAGCAGTTACCTGTGAGTATTTTAGACCATTGATCCTGCAAGGCTAAGCCTTCCATGTAAAATACACTTCTGCAAAACCCAATTGAGAGAGTTAAATCCAATACGGTTGGAACTTCATCCATCCATCTTTGCAATTACGTGTCTATCACCCCCATTGATTTAATAATAAATTGAATGTCTAAGAAAGTAGTGAAAGAGCATCTTTACAAGCTAATGCACCTTTCAACTACTTGTAGGGGAATAATATTTGCCAAGGTAGCTTTTCCAGAGCAATTAAATATAAAGCAGCGTATCAAGTAAAAAGGGTTAATAGGGTTCACACTGACAAAGATCAACAGGATTATGCAAGCTTTAGCCCCCACCCCACCCATACCCCAGCCCACAATAT